TTTACAATGTGATCTCAAATCATGAATGAAAATGGAATCCAAAATATACCTTGCAAAATAATATATTAACCCAACAGATTTGTATCTGTTAGAAAGCTTTATTTTATTTTCTTTTCTTGATTTTGCATGGCTTTTTTTTACCTATAATTTCTTTTACATTTTGAAGGTATTATAGTTTCAGGTTTTAGGAATGCCTTCTAGTTGGATTACCATTATTCACGTAACACTAGTGCCTTAAACATACCTAGTCCTCCTGAATAAGAAATGTTAAAACAGAAAACAGAGTGACAATAAAGTCCAGCTGTTTTTTGCTTATCTTGCATGGCAGTAGCACCATTTGGAAAACAATGAGACAGACCTCTTGCCTGAACTACCTCTAATGCTGCTGCCTTCCCTGAGAATTAGGGCAATGCTCATGTTCTCATCCACTTTTTTCCACTTCATCTATTTCTACCTCTCACTTCTATTAGTGGGCTATGGTTAAAAAAAAATGCTTTGATCTGAGGAATTTTCAGCAAAATATTATTTTCTGTACAGTAGGAAGGAACATTGTGAGGAAGAGAGAGCTTTGGCTGCTCTATCAAACACTTAAAACCAAGGGATGCCAAAACTGGGGTCAGCTTAAAACCTCTAGTTGTTTGAGCCAGAACTTTATCAAATCTTAAGGAGACAGTTACCCTTTGAAAAAAATTAATGTTTAATATGACAGAGTTAATTAATTCACTGTATTATCTGACTTTTTGAACTAATCTTTGGGTCTTTCATTGTCTTTTCTTGCTCTTTCTCTTGAGAAAAGCAAACCTTTTTACATTTTTCTCATGTAAAATACAGAATTCTTTTACTTCTGCCCCTCTCATAATGACTATGAAAAAAGTAACAGCATTGGGACTCTGTGTTATTTCATTTCTACTCTCAGTATAATGAGAGGTGAACTGAAGTCTACAAGTATTGTAAAACTATGGGTACTATAGTTGCTAGCTTCTTTTTGTCTTCAGCTACAAAAGAAGCATTCTGGAGAAAGGCAAGGATTTGGAAGACAAAACAAACTAGAAGATACACAAAATACATTCCAGATGATTCTCTGCAGCAAAAAGCAAAACAGACACATCCTGTTTGAAAGGAGAGGTAGACTCAGCTAAGCCATGGAAAATGGAAAGACCATAAACTCCTGCCAGGCCAGAGAGCTCTCTTGCTCAGTCTTGCATATGGGGGGATTTCAACTGATGTCAGTTATTAACAGCTAAGGGAAATAGGGACTTCAAGAGACTTTTCAAGGATTGCTGCCTTTCGGGGTAAAGAGAGTAAACTGTGAATTAATCACAAGGCAGAACTTCTACTATACTAACTTCTAATAGGTAATAGAAAAATTTTATTCAACATTCGTTAATATTCTATTCTCCTGTATCAAGAACAATTATTTAGCATCTCTAATTATGTTTCTTAATTTAAATTGTTGCTAAATTAAGAGCCAGATTTCTTTAAAAAAAATCCATCTTCATGATTATACAATCAAACATCTGGACAATTTTGAGTATCAAGACTTTTCAAACACCTTAATATTATTATTTTACTTAGTAAGGAAAGATGTAATAAGAAAGAAAGAGAGTAATAAGAGAGTAAGAAAGAAAACTTCATAAGTATGATCTGAATCATAATCACTTCTAAATCAAAAGTGTTAGGAAGCTAATTTATGAGCATTCTTTTCTGCCCAGCTTCTTCAAAACAGAAGGCTAAAATATTTTGAGTCGCTCACTTTAACACACACATGCAATAGCTTAGGTCTTTCTCTCTGTTGTCTTTTGGCTTAAGATGGCTTCTGAATCTTCATACTGTGGCTAAAATGTGTAACATTTGTCAACTGGACTTTTCAGAACTTAAATTAAACTATGCTAACTAAATTCATTAAACTAACTAATTAAACTATGTTAAACTAACTTAAATTAAAATATGGTGCCTTAGCTTTCAGAAACCATGTGAACAAATAACCCTTGTGATAATATTCAAATTTAAAAGCATTAACCCTTGAAGACAATGTTGTTCAGATCAGTTGACTGATATCAGTAGAATTCATTAGTGGCCATGTTTTGTGCCTAACATTATACTGTAATAGATTGTCTCAATATGTTACCAGAATATAAAGCTATGATATATTCTCCCACCTAGTCGAAAAAATCTCCAGCTCTTTATCATTTTAACTACCTCTCTGTAGGTTTTCTGTGGACTGCTGCTTCCCTTATTCTGTTGCTACAGAAATACTGAGCAAACAAAGGAGTGACAGCATGTCATAGAAGAACAGAGAAGAATGCAGGCAATAGATTTTATCACTTTCTGCTTCACAGTAAATGATTAAAAAAGGCAAATTTTAAGCAGATTTTCTTGCTTTAACTGAAAGCAGCTTTTGATATATTACCATTACCATTATTAATAATACTTTATTAATTTGCTAGTTGGTAACATTCAGAAGTGTTTTGTGGATTCATTGTTGGTACAATATATCTGTATAATATTTGTCCCACTTGTTATTTACATCTATGATTATTTCTTGCATTGTATAAAAAATATTGTATGCATATAAAAGTTGCAATTGTCCAAGTTTCAATTTATAAGTTGCTATAGGTATAAAAAAAATCTGAAATTTTTCAAAAATTCATGGAAGAATTGTGTACTGAAAGGATGTATCTAGCTTAACTTTAAACATCTGTGATGTATACATCGAGATAATAGCTAATTAGAGAGGCTGTTTTTGTTGAAAAAGATAAATTAATGCTTTTATTGCATGATTAATCTAATCTATTTTAGCTATTTACTTTATAATGAGATGAATTTGTTATTCTGATTCATCTCTATTTACAATAAAGGGAACTGTAGATGACCAGATAAACTCTAGAAGTCAGCTGTTTTATGTCAGATAAATTTCAGCTTCAGACTCTAGTTTCTTTAGTTTCTGACAGGAATGCATCATTTTTTGATGTGAATTTCCACTGCTTTTCTACAATCCTCCTATACTCACCATTTTTGATCAGATATGTAACCTGTTTTACTACAGCTCAGGTTTCATTTGCAGCATCTAATCTCCTAGAATGCAAACCACAGTCTTCCTAGCTCCAAATTATCTTGGTTTTGTCTTGACCTTTTAACAGCACTCATATTTATGTGGAAGGAACACATACAGGGTACTTAAAGCCCACATATTCCAAAAATTTTCTCATGTTTTTGTGTTTAGACTGTTTCAGGCTACTATGTGAAAAGACAGAGCGGAAGACAGACAGTAAAGTTTTCCCATACTTTTATTTGCATATGTATCAACCATATATCTCCCAAACCTACCTTTGGCTACTGTTACACCTTCTGTGGGATAAAATCATAATATTTCCCTATTAATTTCATACTGAACTTCATAAAAATCTCACTCTGAATACCCACGTATTTTATGTGCAATACAAATAATTTTTCTTTGCAACAAAGCTGGTGGCTGCCTCTTCAGAGACTAGAAAATGAAACTTAGTTATCATAGTGTCTGTGCTGCCTTTATGACGCTGACTCATCAGCTGGCATTATGTAGTAGAGTGCTGTGGGAGTTAAAATATAAATGGAGGATAATATAATGGAGGAAACCAGAAACATGTAAATTGAAAATTATATTTCATGGGAAGGAATTTCACAGGAGTGAAAATGGCCTATGCTCTAAATCTGTAATAACAACTTTAAAGCCATATGCTTTGTTGAATCTGTACCTCTCACATCTTGCATTAGGGATGAAATTTGAGATACTGAAGGCTTGAAATTTGCCTTTTTAAAAAGTCAACATACCTCCTTAAATTATAATTATATTATCAAGCTTCACAAAAGACTGAGTTAGCTGAATCCTTCTGGAATACAGGGACTTGTGTATTTTTTGATCCCTGACTATAATTCCTAAATAGTCAGTAAGAGTTTATAAAGCTCTTATTTTATGAACAGAAAATACCCAGAGAGTAAGATCTTTGCCATTGCCTTAATAAAGTCATAAAATGATGAACAAACAATACCATGTCACTGATAATCATGCATAAAAGAAAAATCAACCCAAAAAGGAAACAAAACAAACAACAAAAAAAAACATAGTAAAAAAGGAGTTATGAAAAGAGGGAAAGAGATTATATACAATGTGAATTACTTTGGCTCCTCTAAGAAGTCATGTGTAAAAGGAAAGAGAAGGAAGATAAGAAAAATAATGTAAAATAGTTATGGAAAAAAACAAAGTAACCACAACAGGGTGCCTTGATAATGCCTTTCAAGTTTTTCACTGTGATGTTGTATCAATACAAGAGTACCTAAGGTCATGTTGGGATGACATATTGCAAATATGTTGTAATTCTCTGCGACTATTAATTGACTTAATCATCTCATCAGCACTTCACTGTTGTATACCACTCAATAAGGTATTCAAAGCAATGAATGTCTTCGAACATCCTTTAAAATTTCACACTCTGTGTGCTCAATTATTTTTCAGATCACTCTTTACATGATTAGTTCTGAAATGAATTGCCTTGATGCCTGGAAAAAAATTCAGTTCATTTCTTATTTTGTAAAGCCTTGAACACATGAAAAATTGGGCAAGAATTGGCAGAGCAGGAAAAAAGTACTTGAATAGAGTTTTATTTTATTTTTTTTTTTATCTTAAGAGGTAGGTCTAGGTTAATTAGAGGCATTAGTTAGAAAAAAAAATAGAATTAATGGCATTAAGCATAGCACATTCTTTAAAAATCTCTTATACTTGTTTTAATTTGTATTCATGGCCCTCAGAGAAAAAAAGTATTCTTATGAAGCCCACAAAACAAAACTCTCATGATCAAATTTATCCATAAGAATTATTTGTATCCCATGAGCATTTAGAAATCAAGAAGTATTTAATTTATTTCAACAAAATAAAGTGATATGGATCTAAGTGGTGACAGATAATGGAGCCATATGCTCGAGTAAGAATAACTCAGGCAGAGTATTTCCTGCCAATGACTTACTGGTTTTCTCCTTTGCAATGATCTTGGTGGGAAACAGAAGCTGAGTAACATCCAAACTAACAGATGTCTCTCAAGAAGTGGCCTTTTCTATGCTTAGCAGATCTACAGTTCAGGCACAGTAATCCCTCTGCGTCACAGGCAAATGTGGCGCCCAATCCCCTTTCTTAGCATGGACATAACAACCGGCACAACCAGGAAATATTCTTCTGTCACTAATCAAAAATCATCTTCAAAATTACATATCATTACTATTACAGCTTCAGAATGAGAGGAAGATTTAGCATTTCCTTGTCTGCTAATATCTGTTTAAAACAGTTCTTTGTTTACATTTTCAGTTCCTAGCAGAACACATAACTTAGCCATTGCTGCCATAAAATAGGTCTCGCTGATGCAAATGATATCAAGACCAAGTTTTATATTTTTACACCAGCAGAGCTTTCTAAATTGATACTTAGGCTACTGAAAAAAAAAAAATCCCACTTTCAAAATTATTAAAAAGCAAAATAAAAGTAATTATTTAAGAAGTTATTAAGTCATATGGACAATATGACTTAGATAACAGATGTACATTTAAGTGTTTATGAAAAGTAATTCTTAGACATATTTATAACAGTTAGGTTAATAATTTTTGCTTGTAGATTCCTTGGCTGAGAAGATAGTGTGGTTTCTAATGACCAGATGAATTCTAGAAGGAGACACAGTGTAAGCATCATGAAAGTTTAAGGCTATATGCATAGCAGAAACAGCTTCTTTTGAGTTAGACAATATATCACATGGCTGGAATGCTGGTTTTTACATATGGAGTGAATAAAAGAAGAGAGAAATTAAGGCTTTGGAAGAGCTTCACATATGTTCTATCACAGAAACTTGATATCTATTTTCTTTTTATAACCATGAAATATTACAAACTATAATGAACGCAATTTTACAGTAGAAAATCCTTAGCAGGAAAAACTACAATGCAAATTACAGTGAAAAATCCAATCAGCTATGCTTATCCTTCAGTGTAGGTTCCTGAATCCTTTCAACAGTAGTGAAAGTGTTGTACACACATAAGTGGGAGAATTTAAATCAAAGTGTTGATTATTAAGTGTTGATTTTTATGATCTTCAGCATTTCTGTAAATTTTATTTGGAATGTATAACTATAAAAGCAATTTTCTCTTCAATAGTAAATACTTCAGTGAAGCAATGCTCTTACATTATGTTGCATTATTATTAGAATAGAAATGCAGCAAATCCAGGCCTGTAATCTGCCAAAGTTGGCTTTAAATATGACTGAAACTGCCAAGATATATTTAATTAACTAACTTGATGTGGATGTTTTATTTTTTCCACTTTATTGTCCCCTTTATTTTTACTTATCTGAGAAACAGGATTTTGTTTTGGTTTATATACCAAAAGCTGGGGCAATTCATTATCAAATTTCCTTTGTACTGATTCAGAATTCATTCAACTAGATACATGATTAAGTGTGTACTTTTCAAAATAATCCTCCATTTTTTATGTCACAGCAACTATGACTTTGTTCCACGTGGTAATTTATTGCAATAGGAATTTCTGTTAGACACAAACTATATTTTGAATGCAGAAATAGAAAATCTGTAAATTGCCTTGTCAAGACTCATAAATCATCTGCCATCCCAAAGTGTGTAACTCACATGCACTGTTCTCCCTTTGTGCATTGAAACACACTCTGTGTTTCCTAAAACACAGAAAAAAAAAAAAAAAGCATTAGGCAGAGCATCCTTTTATAGAGTAGATGAAAATTATTGAGGAAGTCATGGAAAATGAAACATCGGACATAAATAAGGACAAGGGAAACCGCAGCTGACTGAGCTGTCTGACTGTCAGGTTTAGCATCAACACACCAGGAGCTCAAGAGAATTTTCACTGACTGTCCAATGAACTTTGTCACTGTTCAACCTCTGTGTGTAACACACACCTAATTATGTTTCTATGTCACTATTTTAATTACACTCCTAGTTCAATTTCTGACAGGCAGAAATTATCAGAATGTGAGAATGTGGTAAGGGCACGCTTATTTATTCTGGAAGAAGCCCTTTTCCACAAATCTTGAAAGACATAACATAACTTTCCGTGCCAATTATCAGCCCATGCTGGATCTCTTCTGATAAAGGAGAACATTCAAGATAAAGTTATCCTCAACTGGGCTTTGGCAATGGCAAGAGCACAGTTAAGACTGAATGGTAATTATGAAAAGCATTGTGTGCCTGTGTGAAAATTCAGTTTACATTTTGATCATTCCAAATTATTCTAATTTCAATATAAATTGCATAATATAAAAACATTAGCAATCATCATTTACTCTGTGCAGGATACCTGCCTGCAGATGGTGAAAAGCAAAGCCTTAGGAGAATATTGTGTCACAGGAACTCAGCTGGCATCTAATTTTTATCTCAGACCAACGAAAGTGTGAAGTAACAACACGTAAATTGTTGCATCATAATGTAAAACAAAAAACAACTGCTAGTAAAATAACATGATGCTAGAGAGGCACCTCAGCCCAATTTCTTTAGGAAATTAGTCTTATGTCTGCTGTTTGTGTACATGTCAGTTGTTAGGACATTGCACCTCTCTTAAGATTCCCTTGCTAGCATTAAGGAGCACAACCCGGTGCCTGAGCCAAAGAGTGAAATCAGATGCAAATGTCAAAGAAATTACAAATTTTTTAGTTCTGCTGTAAACAGAACTCCACTGAATTTGTGCAGGGCTGCTCCACAAGAACACCTTACAATCACAATCATACAATTTACTATTTTCTCCTCCCAGGTTGACCCTGCTTACCACTTTCCTTCCCTCTGAAATAATGGCCAACCTCTGTTTCACTTTTCCCCATTTGCCACAGTTTTATTGACTTTATATCTTGATTTCATATTTTTCATATAGTTGTTCACATAAAAGCTTTATGCTTTTTTAAAGAAAAGGTAATCTGCACAGATTACCTGAATTGATTCGCTGAATGGTCTTAGGACAAGAACCAGTAAACACCTGGTCGTTAGGCACGCAGCTGCTCTCACAGGTTACATTTTAAAGAACTGAGTGCAGCTGGGCTAACACATGAAAAATGATGTGGTTTGTGGGAGGGGGTAGCAGTCAAGTTAAAAAGACAACTGGTTCAGCAGCTTGGTTTTGGGTATTGAGCACGTGGTACTGAGCTGACTGGAGGAGATAGAGGTCTGCAGCTGGCAGGAAGGAAATTGCAGCATCCACCTGCTCACTGAGAAATTTTTGCTACTACAGGACAGGCTGCTATTCCCACTGGGGGAGTCTGTCTATAGAAAGGACTCACATTTCCCTTTGTCTGCTATCCAGAAGAGGCTTGAAAAAGACAAGATTTTACAGATAAAACTGCAATGATGCTTTTCTTGGTCTGAATAAGGAATAAATCCTCAGAGTAATTTTGTTTATAGAGTAACTGTAGATCATCTGTTATGAATCATACAATTTGATCTCTCCTATACTTAAATATGTACTACTGTGTAGCGTGAGAAGACTTTTACTCTTAAGAGAAAGATTTAGAAAACTCTAAAAAGTGATTCATCCTGTTCTAAAATGAATTTCTGAAATCAGTAACATAAATAACTGTGTGGAAGATCATCTCACTCTTAATGGAGCCTTAGGTCAGATGCCGATTTATTTAGCTAAAGTTTGTTAAGAGGAAACTCACCCAAAGAGTGGTTTTTTATATCACTGCAACTGTGTTTATACTAGAACTTCATATTCTAACCATTCTTAAGATATAGGTAAGCATGAACTTAAACGTGACTTTGAAAGATAGAAGCTGTCAAAAGGAGTGATTAAAAGAAGGCCATTACATAGGAATAGCTAAAATATGAAAAACTGTAAACAATAGAAAATAACATCTTGTGTGAAAAAAGGTTGTGCTTAATAATTGCAACAAAAAATAAATTACCCTTAAATGACTTGCTATAATTTCAGCTTGGTAAGAAAATAACATTTTTTAAAGTGATAAAATGAAGATGTTAAATAGCTTACATTTTGGTTGCAAAATAGAAAAGAAGCTTATATCAATACTCTTTACAAAACAAAAATAAACATTATTTGTGTCAGGTTTAGCTGCTTTCCCCATACTAGGTAGTTATTAATATTTCATGAATGATTGCATTGTGGGCTTCACTTCATGTTGGCTGGTTCTGTCACTGTGGTATTCATGTTAAAATACATCTAGGTGTTTATTGACAACAATGTCAAGTCACCATCACTCCATGGTGTTGTCATAGATCAACAGAACTTGAGGATTTAGCTTATCAATGGAAAAGATTTCATTGAAAAGAAACATTGGGAACATCTAGATTACAATGAAATTTTAAATCTCATTTTGTGTGTGAATGTTGAAAGCTTGAAGTATTTAGGTTATTTTTTCTGGTTTTGAATTATTTCTTAATTGCTATTGAACATATTTTACTTACTGTACTCTCTCTGTAATGGAAAAAAACTGAAAAATTTTTAATTTTCACCCTTATGTAGACAAAAAGTACATTTAAAGCGTATTTTCTGTAAGATATGTGTTTCCCATATTTCAGTGAGAGCCAATTAAGATATAAATGCTACCTTATATTCATTTATATATATACACCTTATATTAATTTGTGAATTATGATTATTACTTTTTCAGAGAAGCAGAGGATAATGTGAGAGGATGTAACTGTCATTGCTGATTCTAATTTTCAAGTTCTGTGGCTTAAAAGATATAGAGACTAATATATTTATTAAAATAGCAGCAAAGCATTTATAATAATGTTGCTCATATAATAATACATTTTCTTCCATTATAGTTGCCTGTTGTCATTGGCGATATTTTAAGTCATGTTATTGTCAGTACTTATTTCGTATAATAAGATTATAAAAGAATACTTGCCATCTGCAATGGAGTGATTTACCTTTCTAAGCCCTGCTTTATGTTAGGTGTAAATGTGTAGGCATTTATTGCATCAGATTTCTTTTTCCTTGAAAAGATTCTCCTAGAAACTCATATTCATAATGGCTGCAAATAACACCATCAAGGG